TACCGCCCGCCTGTTTCATTGCTCCCTGTATCGCTATCAGTTCAGCAGTAAGAATAGAAGTATAATCTGTTATTCGTAAAAAAAAAAAAAAAGAATCCTGACCCAGTAGGTTCATCCTCCTTGGATCCCTCAGTGAAATACTGGGTATGGTGACTATAATATAATAAAAATAAGTCATGAATATGTTTTGTTTTTCATTGATGCGTATTTGTCTTCTCTCTTTTTTTACTTTGTTGTTTAGTGCTAGGTCCACATTAATGTCACAATATTCCATAAGGGAAGTTCTTGTTTCAGTGTAGTGGACATTATTTTTTTAACTTTCAAAGTTCCCATTATCGCCTAATTTATGTGCTTTCTACAATGCCGTTTTTAATTTTGAGATGTTTGTTTGCGATCTTGATTATTCTGTCTCTGTAGACATTCCTAGCATTGCTTTCTCTATTATAATTTACTCTATGCCATAGTTTCACCTTGCTTTGCTGCTTTCTTATCCAAAGAGGGGAGATTTTGGTCAGGACTGATAAAGCCATGCTGCTTGCAGCGCGTGTAGAATTGGGGATTATTCTCAATGCTGAATTTTGAATGGTGTCCAGTTTCTTTAGTTGACCTTTTGCTCCCTGGTCGAATATTTCCTCTCCATAGGCAAGTCTTGGTAGTATCAGATTTTTGTATATCAATGTTTTTATTTTTGAATTTAACCCCCAGGTTTTTCATGCTGTGTATTTCAAAATATTAAGGGTGTTGATTCCTTTCTCATATTTTTCAGCTATAATATGCTCCTTGAACTGGAGGAATTTGTCAAGAAGTCAAGATATTTGCAATTGAAAAAGGTGGGGTCGTCTGGTTTCGGAGGTAAAATTATCCAGAAAATGGCAGCCAAAGTTTGGTGATTCCCATAGCTTTAGAGTGCTTGGAAACTGAAAATGTACAATTTTTGTGCTGTTCTTAATTGGACATAAAAGATGTGGAGCCAAACAACAAAAAATTGATAAAAATTGCCAAACTGGCGGGAAAATGTAGTTTTCTTTGATTTCATTATTTTGACCAGCACCTGATTTCACCACGACGCCTCACATATGGTCGCTTTTCAGGACAAGCGGGCTAACCCAGATTTCGGGGGTTTCCAGAAATCTTGACCAAAAGTGGGCATTGCCCTACCTATAGGAGAAGTTTGATTTCAATGGTGTGTATATATTTGTTTGGTTAAAGAGAAAACTCTCCTTGTATTTTAAAGCAACTGAACAAGGGGCAAAAACTTTACCTTTGATTTTCTCTAAACAGCATTTTTAGGGATAGCCCCCATATTGTGCTTAAAAGTGACAATATGTCCGGAGGTTTTTGAGTGAAGAATGGGGTGAAGCAGGGCAGCCTGTTAGCACCGACACTTTTCAGCATCTTGTTGTCATTCAACTCTAAAAACCTTTCTACTGTCACTCCTTGACTCCTTCTCACTGCTGTCTTTCTACTGCTACTCCTTGGCTTCTTCTTACTGCAGTCTTCCAGCCACATCCCTATCTTCTGGCAGGAAAGATCTACACCTAGCCTTCTCGGACAAAGGTGAAAAATCTCGGAGGTCCCGTGTGCATGTTAAAAATCCCTTGGTGGTCTAAAATCGATAAGAGTAGGCTTCGGCGGCCACACGCGCAAAATTCAAAATTTCCTACCAACTGAAAATGTGAGGTATAGTGGTGAAATCAGACGCTCGTCAAAAAAATGAAAGTAAAAAAAATGGCATTTTTCTGCAGGTTTGGGAATTTTTATCTAATTTTTATCTAATTTTTGTTTTTTGGCTCAACACCTTCCATGCCCCTAAAGAACACATTTCTGTTTTAAAAATTTTTTTTTTTTAGTAGAGGTTTTTATGGCACTCGCAACTGCATAGGGTCATATGAGCGCATTTCTGTGTGGATTTCACTTTAAAAGTTGATTAAAGGCAGAGAAAAATGTAACTTTTCAGTTTCCACGGACTCTCAAGCTAAAGAAATAACTCAAATTTCGCGGCCATTTTCTTGCTAATTTTACCTCTGAAACCAGATGACCCTCACCTCCTTCAATCGCCAATATCTTGACTTGTATCTGACATAGATGGATATTTTTTTCATCAAAAGCTCGTCAATTTTTGAGCAAATGGGGTTATTGGCATCATCTTAAAGCCTGTTCATTAGCCCTCCTTTGAATGAAAAAAAATTTCCATCTATGTTGAATAGAAGTCGAAATATTTGCAATTGAAGTAGGTCAGGGTCGTCTGGTTTCAAAGGTAAAATTAGCGAGAAAATGGCTGCCAAAGTTTAACTTGGAAAGTGAAAATTCACATTTTTTGTGATTATAGTCAATTTTTTTTTCTCCCAAAAATCCACACAAACATGTGTTTTAAGCTGACATAAAAGGTGCTGAGGTAAAAAAAAAAGAAAATTAGAAAAAAAATTGCTCATCGGCCAAAAAACCCCTTGATCTCTTTGATTTCATAATTTTGACGAGCGCCTGATTTCATCATGCCTCACATAATACCTGTAATATGACCTTAAACAGTTGCGAGCGCCATAAAACACTCACGAAAAAGACAACAACAACAACCCCCCTCCAGAAAAACCTGTAGATTTTAGAAGAGGATCAAGCGTACTAAAGAAAAAACAGTAACATATATATATAGAGGTGGACTCATTTCCAGTATCTGTCTTTATTTCACTTGCAATACAAATTCATATTTTATAGATCTATATACAGAAAACATTCAACATTCCCTTTGTATCACATCATGGTTGAAGCAAACCTACATGCTCAAAAAAAGCAAGAGAATAAATACCATGGAGTGTTTGCTTGGGGTGTTGAAATCACATGGAAAATTTCGAAGGCGAATGGACGGACGGGTTGGAAGGCTAGCAAAGAAGAAGATGACAGGACTTGAGCAGTGGAATGCTGATAGTTTTTTTCTTTTAACCAAAACAATAAATAGGGAAACTATGAGTGAATGTGCTTAAATATACCCAATGTCTCTGGTTTCTGCTATGACTTGCTTTGGCTGAAATGTTCTTTTCAATCAGCTTAACACTTTGCAGTCACACAGCCAGCAGTACAAAATACCCCATCTGGTCACCCAGCCAGGAGAGTGACTGCAACAGACTTCTCGGCCCTGGCGCAGAACTGCGTCAGGTGACTGGAACGGACAATTTTCACCGTCGCATTATTGCGCCAAGTGACCGCAAAGTGATAAACAAATAGAAGCACGGTAATCTGCAGCTAGAGATGACAGATATTTTTGCTCAGGGATAATGTACAGGAATGTTTTAGGAGTTTATTCAGTTCTAGAGTTTATGTTTGGAATAACTGCACGTTGGTAGTTTCTTGTGTCAAGTCACATCCTGCTGTCAAGGTGGCCTTGTGTAAAGATGAACTGTTAGGATCCAAAAGTACGTCCTTTCTTGCTGTTTTGGTGGTCTTGCCAGTTCCTTTGCTCTAATTTGATATACCTGAAAGAAAAACCAAATATTTCATTAAATAGGGTATACTGACATCAAAGCTGGTGAGTCAAAATAAGACCAAGTAATAAAAACAAAAAAAAACAACCCCCAAAAAGTTTGTTTCTGTAAAATTTCAAAGCCTTACTAAACATGATTGATCAGTTTTAGAAAGCAGTACAGTTAGAGTCTGCTTATTTCACTACAGAAATGTTTACGTCTGCTTACGTTCATCTCGGGAAAGCTAAAAAAAAACAACCCCATCCCCTGAACTATTCACTGGTTGCTGTTTATTTTAGTAGAATAAAATATTCATTTGATTTAAAATACAAAGTTGTTTTTTGTGTGTTTTTTTTGGGGGTGGGGGGGGTTGATAGGGTTGGGTTTTTGTTGTTGTTGTATGTGCACTCCTTTTGAAGCAGTATTACAATATGGATCATTTCAAAGGGGAAAAATAAGCTGGGCCCATCTCCAGAGACTGAGCAAAAAGAAAAGGCGTCTAGGAGGTACAAGAAAAGTGATTCCAGGCATGAGTAACGTTTTCTAACACGAGTCTCCAGGCTAGTCAACTAACCCACAACATCCACAAAGTTTAAAAAGGAAACTTGATAGTGAAACAATAAATGTGAGGCATCTTGGTGAAATCAGGCATTTTTCTCCTGGTTTGGCAATTTTTATCGAATTTTTGTTTTTCAGCTCACTATCTTTTGTGTCCATTTAAAAACACATTTCTGTGTGGGTTTACCGAAAAATGTTGATTAAAAGAACGAAACCTGTAAATTTTCAGTTTTCAAAAACTTTCAAGGTATGGAAGTCACCAAACTTTGGCAGCCATTTTCTCGCTAATTTTATCTCTGAATCTGGTGACCTCCACTTCATTCAATCGCAAATATCTCGACTTCTATAGAATTCTATTCAAGATTAAAGGTGTTGAGTCAAAAAACAAAAATTTGATAAAAACTGTCACATGGACAGAAAAATGCCAGTCTCTTCAATTTCATTTTTTTGACCAGCACCTGATTTCACCACAATGCCTCACAAATAATCTTTTCCCCAGAGTCAAATTCTACTCTTTCTTTTTTTTTTTTTCATTCAAAGAGGACGGTAGAACTAATCCATACACTAGATATAGTCTAGGGACAGATTTCTCCGTTCCCATCAGCTTCTGCAGTGTCCGTCCCACTCACCACTGAGTACCAGTGGGCACAAGGCCGGGGGAAAGTCAGGGACAGATATTGTTTTTGTAGACGTTTTACAGCGCTCGCAACTGCATAAGGTCATATCAGCGCCAGAAGATTAGAGGTGTTACAAGAGAGTAACAAACATAAAAAAGAAGGAGGGGAGATAAGGACGATAGATGTTTGATAGGAAAGAAGGAGCAAACCACACCAGAGCACCCGCCAACCACCCGCAGGGACAGACACTACACTTGAACTTAGCCAAAAGGCCGAGAAGCAAAGTTAACTCAAAACAGACAACAACAACAACGATGATGACAGATAACTGACCCTATCTTGTCGGAGTGTCCTACGACGCAGTTGTCTCCCCAGCTGTGGTCTGGTCAGCTGCCGCTGTGCCCTCCGTCGTTTGGTCGGCCGTCGTTTCTCCCGCGGTCTCATCTGTCGGGGAAGGAAGGAGGGAGGGAGTGAGTGAGTGATAGAAGAGAATGTTTCACCATGTGTCTCATCTGTCGGGGAAGGAAGGAGGGAGGGAGTGAGTGAGTGAGTGATAGAAGAGAATGTTTCAGCATGTGTCTCGTCTCTCGGGGAAGGAAGGAGGGAAGGAGGGAGTGAGTGAGTGATAGAAGAGAATGTTTCAGCGTGTGTCTCGTCTGTCGGGGAAGGAAGGAGGGAAGGAGGGAGTGAGTGAGTGATAGAAGAGAATGTTTCAGCGTGTGTCTCGTCTGTCGGGGAAGGAAAGAGGAAGTGAGGAGAGGAGAAGAATGTTTGAGCACGTGTCTCACATTCACTGAGTTAATTCCTGACGCTGAACATTTCCCACAGACCCAGCCTTTTCTGCCAAAACGTTCAGACTGCCGGATCAGGTACGGAGAAATTGGGGGAAAAACATCTGTAAATGACACATTTTCAAAATACATAATATTATTGTCAAGATAACATAACACATTAGATTCTATATAGGCCAACTATGTAGGAAAATTTGGCGAAAAAGTGTGAGACCCTGAAACACAAAAACTATAAAACTACAGCAGAGATTGCTACAACAAATCAGTAGACCATCAGAGACACTAAGAACTTGGAAACTATGAGAGTAAAATAGAAAGACAACACTACTAAACGTAGTCCTACTATCGACACAGTTGCGTACGAAATGATGAGGTCTTGGTAAGTGTACGGACACTTTCCGCAGTCAACATTTTGACAACTGTCTCTTGCTTATCACCATCATAGACCTACAAAAGACTTCCAGTTTGTTCCTGGAGACAATTATCATTTGGCACACCTACCCGGTGACAAACAAGAAAATAACAACCCAAAAACGAAAACGTAAAAACGGTTAACCGGAAAAAAATAACCAGAACAACTAAGATATTATAATTCTACACTTTCACTATACAAGAACAGCTTTGGATCCATTGAGAATAAAAAAAAATTACATTATACATTAATGGAAGAAAAACTTGGAAGTTTAATACTGGTACTGCAAAATCAAGCATAGACAGTTTATCCAAAAATTGCGCTCGAAGATGAATGCAAAGAACAAGTTTTTCTCTCCGTTTTCATTCAATATCATTTCCTTGTCAATAATATTGACATAACGGCGGCATCTTCCCCGCAAAATTTTTAAAATGTGAAAAAACCCGCAGAAAAGAGGTTCTTGAATGAAAGTGACTCAAATAAAGCCTAATACATCAAATTGGTAAATACTACTGTTGAGTTTAACTAAATAAATACTAAACAGAAAAACATTGACAATTTAAAAAAAAACCATAATGCGTAAAAACAGCAAAAGGAAACATGAACATGAAAATGTAATCGTATTTTGATGAGGGTCCCCTTGAAGGAGACTATTTTCAATCGAATTTGATCCTGCTTTCGGTAAATTCCTGAGGAAGAAGATATAGGGGAGACGGAAGATTACTCAAACTGAATCCTATTTCAATGAAGGAATCACAGGACATTCCAAGGAGGAAAAAAAGGAAAGGATAAATAGAAAAATAAACAACAACAGATGAATCCCAGAGAAAGAAGCAAAGGCTGGCAAACCTTCCACACGTATTTCTGAACAGACTGTTCTTTTTAAAAATTAAAGTCTGAATCAACCACCCACAAAAACATTATCAAACTATTGCTCTGACAATGGTGTGAACATTCATTACGAGTGTACGATACAATAATTTTTGTGAACATTCTGAATAATTCCTTATCGACAACACACAAATTGAGTAAAATACTATTCGGCGACACATGTGAGTCAGAAACAGTAACAACAAACATGATCCACTGCAAAAGCAAGACAAGGAGCTGTGTGCTGGTTACATTCATGTGCTGACATCAAACTGTTTCAGAACCATCAGCATATATGGTCGCTGTTAAGGACAAGCGGGCTAACCCAGATTTCGGGGGTTTCCAGAAATCTTGACATACACCAAAAGTGGGCATTGCCCTACCTATAGAAGTTTGGTTTCATTGGTGTGTATATTTGTTTGGTTATAGAAAAAACTCTCCTTGTCTTTTAAAGAAACTAAACATGGGCCAAAAACTTAACCTTCGATTTTCTCCAAACAACATTTTTCGGGATAGCCCCCTTGTGCTTAAAAGCGACCATACCAAGTCTGAGGTCCAAATAACAAGGCCAACAACGAGTAACATGTTACATTCTGTCAATTGCTGTGATGGAAATTCTTGTATCATGTAAGCGTGTCCCTGCAAACTAAAGTTCTGAACGGCCACAAACCTTTCTTCCCCGCTACTTCCCCTGAGGAGGCAGAACTATCGCCTGCAGCGGGCGTGGCCTCCGATTGCTGAGCGGAGTCGTCTGCCTTAGGTGCCTCTGTCTTTGGTTCCTCCGCTTTTTCCTCTTTCTGCTCGGTTTGTCCGGCCACAGGAGCTGCTTCCGCCTGCTTGTCTTCCTCTTTAGCGGCAGGGGAAGCTACTCAGTGTGGTGTGAGAACAACGGCAAGTGGTGAGAAAGACAAGCAAACGTGTGCACAAACACAGCACTCTAAGGTATCCAATAAAA